AGCCACCATTTGACCCAGCTATTCCCCTTCTCGGTCTATTCCCTAAAGACCTAAAAAGAGCATGCTACAGGGACACTGCTACATCGATGTTCATAGCAGCACAATTCACAATAGCTAGACTGTGGAACCAACCTAGATGCCCTTCAATGGATGAATGGATAAAAAAAATGTGGCATTTATACACAATGGAGTATTACTCTGCATTAAAAAATGACAAAATCATAGAATTTACAGGGAAATGGATGGCATTAGAGCAGATTATGCTAAGTGAAGCTAGCCAATCCCTAAAAAACAAATGCCAAATGTCTTCTTTGATATAAGGAGAGTAACTAAGAACAGAGTAGGGTCGAAGAGCATGAGAAGAAGATTAACATTAAACAGGGATGAGAGGTGGAAGGGAAAGGGAGAGAGAAGGGAAAATGCATGGAAATGGAAGGAGACCCTCAGAGTTATACAAAAGTACATACAAGAGGAAGTGAGGGGAAGGGGAAAAATAATATAAGGGGGACAAACGAATGTCAGTAGAGGGAGCAGAGAGAGAAGAGGGGAGGGGAGGGGAGGGGAGGGGAGGGGAGGGGAGGGGAGGGGGGATAGTAGAGGATAGGAAAGACAGCAGAATACAACAGACACTAGTATGGCAATATGTAAATCATTGGATGTGTAACTGATGTGATTCTGCAATCTGTATATGGGGTAAAAATGGGAGCTCATAACCCACTTGAATCAAATTGTGAAATATGATATATCAAGAACTATGTAATGTTTTGAACAGCCAACAATAAAAAATTAAAAAAAAAAATAGCCATGTCAGTGACTGAACATTGTGCTATCCTGAAAGTTCCTCCACCAGATTAGTTAGTCCATCATTTTTACATTCAACCTCACACAGAGTCTCAAGACATGGCAAAGTATAATCAAGTTCTTGGTACCAATTTCTGTTTCAGTTAGCTTTCTTTGTCACTGTAATCAAAACTCCTGAGAAGAACAACTTAGAGGATCACAAGTTTATCCGTTTATCCACGGGTATGATTTCAGAGATCTCAGTCCATAGATGACCAACTCTATTGCTCTAGGCCCAAGGTGAGGCAGCACATCATGGGTCAAGGGCCCAGCAGAGAGAAGCTGCTCCCCTCATGCAAGCAAGGAAGTACAAAGAGGGGGAGAAGACACAGGAAAGAAGCACCCCTCCAGAGCATGTTCCCAGTGACCCACCTCTTCTAGTCATACCTCACCTGTTTATTCCATTGAAATTAGGAGCATCTGATTAGGTTACAACCTCACAATCCAACCATTTTACCTTTGAATATTCCTGTATTAACTTAGGAGCTTTGGGGGGACACCTCATATCCAAACTACAAAAGGCTATCAGCCTGTCTACTTGGGACTGAGGCAAGAGGATCATACATTCAAACCCAGCCTGAGCAACTTAGCGAGAGCTTGTCTCAAGTTAAAAGGCTGGGGATGTACCCCGGTGGTATAGCATTGCCTAAAATGTGTGAAGCTTTGGGTTCAACTGCCAGTATCTGCAGGCAGGTGGAATGGGGGGAGATGGTGCTTAGGGGAATGAGTTCAACCCTAATGCCCCTTTCCTCATGTGAGAATAAAGCAATGAAGTGCTTTGATCTTGAACTTGACAGTTTATAGAACTGAAAGAAGTTTATTTCTATTAATTACCCAGTCTTAGGTATTTTCTTACAGCAGCACAAAGGGACTCAGTCATCTGGGAATGCCTCCATTTCTTCCCCCTATGGGAAGAACAGTTTTGCTAGTTCTAGGTTTCTTGGCTTCCACATTTTTCCTTCATCACTTTGAATACATCAACCCCACTGCATTTTGCATTCCAGGGATTCCAATGAGAAATCTGAGAAGAGGAATTAGCTGGGTCAAATGGTGCTTCTATTCCCAGCTTTCCAAGGAATCTCCATACTATTTTCCAAATTGATTGTACCAATTTGCAGTCCCACCAGCAACATATGAGTGTACCTTCTCCCACCCCCCCCCCAACCTCGCCAACACTTGTTGTTTGACTTCATAATGGCTGCCATTCTTACTGGAGTGAGATGGTATCTTAGAGTAGTTTTAATTTGCATTTCTCTGATTGCTAGAGATGATGAGCATTTTTTCGTGTATTTGTTAATTGATTGTATATCATCTTCTGAGAAGTGTCTGTTCAGGTCCTTGGCCCATTTGTTGATTGGGTTATTTGTTTTTTTTCTTTTCGGTCTATACCCAAAAGACCTAAAAACAGCATACTACAGGGACACAGCCATATCAATGTTTATAGCAGCACAATTCACAATAGCTAGACTGTGGAGCCAGCCTAGATGTCCTTCAATGGATGAATGGATAAAAAAAAAATGTGGCATATATACACAATGGAATATTACTCATCACTAAAAAATAATAAGATCATGGCATTTGCAGGGAAATGGATGGCATTAGAGCAGATAATGCTAAGTGAAGTTAGCCAATCCCAGAAAAAACAAATGCCGAATGTCTTCTCTGATATTAGGGAGGTGACTCAAAATGGGGTAGGGAGAAAGAGCATGTGAAGAAGATTACCTCTAGATAGGGAAGAGAGGTGGGAGGGAAAGGGAGGGTGTAGGGGAATTGCATGGAAGGTGGAAGGAGACCCTCATTGTTATACAAAATACATGTATGAAGATGTGAGGAAAAAAAAGAATAGCGTCACCTTAAATTGGGTAGAGAGAAGTGATGGGAGGGGAGGGGAGGGGATGGGAAAAGGAAGGATAGTAGAATGAAATAGACATTATTATTACTGTGACTGCACGACAAATGTGATTCTGCAACCTGTACACTCAGAAAAAATGAGAAATTATATCCCATCTGATTCAAATGTATTATATGTCAAGGTCATTGTACTGTCATGTGTAACTAATTAAAACAAATAAATTTTTTAAAAAAAGAAATACAATGTCCATATAAAAGTAAAAAAAAAAAATCTGAGAAGACCTTATGAGGAAATCATGATTAACCCCTCCTCCCTCTCACCCTCATAGGTGTTAATACTTTACCGTGTCTTAAGGAACACAACATTTTGTTATAGTATCACAGTGAGTGAGGTGTTACCACCCTTTTGAAACTAATTATTCAAGAGTTGGAAGAAAAAGGAGTTGGATACCATGAGTATAGACATGCTGAGGTCTTTCAAAACCAAAAGTAATGATAGATTCTTAGACTTAAAATGAAAAATCCATTGAAGTTTTGTACAAATTTTAATTTCTAAACAAGTAATATCAGCTCAATAGCCCACTGAAGCCCAAAGCTCATGAAATACTTTTTGGTTTTTTACCTGTATGAAGTTTAATTAATGAGTCTTTTCCAGCAGTATTTAATACACCACTCAAAAGAATAAGTCTTCACTGAGAAATTCAGGATACCTCATTTTCATAGTAATTTTAAGTCCTAGTGATGAAAACTTAAGACAGCTTCCTCAAAGGAAGTTAAAACATTGATGAATCCAATGCAGCCAGTGTTTTGCACATCCAGCTTGACCGTCCTGTAATTTAGACTGAGTCTTTTGGAATAGTTATTCCTTTTTATTAATTGTATTGTTTCATGAAGCCATGGGAGGAAAAAGCTGAACATTGAAAATCATTGACAAAGTACCTAAAGAAGGAGCCAGCCAATATACTATAAAAAATTGAAGGAAAGTGCATCAAAACACATGAAATGAAGTAAAAGGGCCACTGCTGTTTTAAATAACTGCACATGTTAGATTTCCTCCTGCATAGGCTAAAGAATGATGCGTGGAACCAGCATGTGGATAGGAAGCTTGGTTCAGACCTTCTGGAAGTGCAGCAGAGCGCTGTGGAAGATAAGAGTAGATGGCCTCTGTGAGGATCGCTTAGGGTAAATTGGCAAGATGGGATTTGTAAGCCAAGCTCCACTCGCTGAAGTAATACTTGGCCAGACCCAGATTCCACAGGGTGCTTATGCAGTACTAACCAGCTGAGATAATAACCACAATGCACCTATCTCAGGGGACATTCCTCCCAGCATCATCTGTATCATCACACCACACAGGTTGCTAGAAGTGCCCACGGGAGTCGGGCCATGCACCAAGAGGAATAGATTAGCATCATTGTCCAGGTGCACTAAGCAATTGTAACTCGTGGGTGCGGCAGCGGAGCTGGAAGGGAGCTAGAAACTCCAAGAAGAAAGGATGGACCTGGGACCTGTGCAGCTGCCGGGGCAATCACGTGGCCCAGCCCCACCATGGACAATACCGGAGAAGTGCAGGTTTCCTAGACCTGGGGCCAGAGCCACTGCAGCGCGACGTGTCTCCCCTACAGTCGACTAGGGTGTCTGCCCCTGCGCAAGGGGAGGCGGTCTGGGGGCCTGAGTCGGAAGTCGGCAGCCCCGCCCCTTCTCACGCCTGTGGGGTGGACCGGCTCTAGGCCAGTGGGAGGCTGGGGAGGCCCAGGGTCATCATACCAGAGGGATCCTAACCCTTTCCCCGAATGGGAGTTAGGGGGTTGGAACCAGAGCCAGGGAGGAGGGGAGGTGAGGGGTGGCGAGGGAGCTGTGCTTGAGCGTTGGCTGAGGGGCCAACGGTCAGCCAAGCAGACATGCACAGCTCCGCCCCCTTCTGCTACTGGAAGCGGGTGTGTGGTGAGGGATGTAGGATCCTTTCTTAATCTTATTCAGAAAGTGGCAAAGGTCTGGGGACTCAAAATCACTGGGGGCTCTGCCCAGGCATGACTGGGCCATTACTGGCCCTGACTTCACTAGGAGTAAGTGAGGAAATTTCAAAGAGCAGGTATTATAAAAGATGCTGTGCCTGGGTTTTTGTCCATCATAACTATAGGAAGCTCTTGGTGGTGGCCTATAGCATGTTTCTTGGTTGTGGTCTTTAGATATTGGTTTTTTTGATTTGAGTTTGTTTTGGTTTCTTATTTTTGGTTTGTTGTTTTGATTTTTTTTTTTTGCTTTGTTTTGTTTTTAGCTAGCATTCTTAGTTGGTGTTCCTGCTTAGGATGAATTGTAAGACTAGTCAGACTAGTGCAGTGTTGCAGGAGCCCTGCTCCTGTGATGAGATTCCCTTCACAGACCATTATCAGCTCCTAAAGACCATTGGGCATGGTGGGTTTGGCCAGGTGAAACTAGCCCGCCATCTCCTCACTGGGGCAGAGGTGGCAGTAAAAATCCTGCCAAAGGAGGGGCAGGTGTTTCCAGTCCTCTCTGAACCAGATATCATGATGACTCTGAGCCACCCACATGTGATTCAGCTATTTCAGGTTATTGAAACTGTCCAAAATGCCTACCTCGTGATGGAGTACGCAAGTGGGGGACAGCTATCTCACCACATCCAGGCTGGTGGCATGCAGGAGGAGGAGGCACGGAGACTGTTCAGGCAGATCGCAAGGGCTGTGGACTACTGCCATAAGAAGGGTGTCGTGCACCGAGACCTGAAGGTGGAAAACATCATGCTGGATGCCAGAGGCAACATCAAACTCATCGACTTTGGCCTAAGTGTCAGGTTCATAGCTGGGCTGAAGTTGAACAGGTTCTGGGGCACTCTCGCATACCTTGCTCCTGAAATGGCCTTGCGGCAAGAGTATGAGGGCCCCCCAGTGGATATCTGGAGCCTGGGAGTCATTCTGTATTTTATGTTGACAGGGAAATGCCCATTTATGGGGATCACCACTAAGCACCTGCTGAAGCTGATCGTGTGCGGAAGGTACCAAATCCCCCACCACGTTCCTACCTATGCACAAAACCTCATCTGTAAACTACTGACTGTGAACCCCAAGCAGAGGCCCACAGTACAGAAAATCCTGCAGCACCCATGGCTGAGGCAGAGTGAATATTTACCATATCATTATCATGACCCACTCCCCAAACACCCAGATCCTGCAATAATGGCAATCCTGTTTGATATGAGCTGTGACCCATACAATACCTGGGTGTCTGTGGCCAATAGAAAGTTTGATGACGCCATGGCTACATACCTGATACTCCAGCATCAGATAAGCCAGGGGGCAAGCTACAAATTCCAGCTGAAAGCTGTGCATGTAAAGCCAAGACCTAGCCCACACCTCTTGGATCCTTCCAATTTCCCTGGCCTCCCAAAGAGGAGTATCAGTGAACCTGCCCTTTACAACTTCCTCTTGCCCTCTGAGCACCAGCTGCCTGAGGAGGCCAAGCAGTTAGGGCTGAGAAGCATCAGAAGGTCCAGCCTGCCTGCCATTAATCTCTGCTTTCTGCCTACATGGACCCCCACTCCTGCCATAGCCTCCCAGCATGAATCTGTGTCCCACTTGCCCAGCTCCTTGAGTATTCTCAGTAGGTGGACTGCAGCAACAGACAGTAGCAGTTTCTTCCAAGACATCTCCACAGGGCAACCCCATGACAACAGAAGAGGCCAGAAGACAGTGGCTGGGAGGATCACTACCTGCTTTCAATGGCTGTGTTGTTGCATGCCATGTGTCAGCAAAAATGTGGCCCCCATGGAAAGAGGGCAGAAATCTCATAGGTGCAGAAACAGAGTGGCTCCAGGGGGATGGACAGCTGAGACAGACCAAACCAATGGACAGCCAGAGGACCCTGTGCTCTCTGGATCCTGACATCACAGCATGGGCATCAGTCACCTGGACTCAAACAGCTGCAGGAGGGAGGTGTGCTACCTCGCACAGGCTTCTCCACACGGGTTCCACTCAGGAGTAGATCTGGACATCAGGAGTCTCCTGTGCTCCCACCTGCAAGAGACATCAGAGACTGTTTTCCCTGGGACACTCCCCCTGCCCTGTCTTCTCTGTCCTTTGTCCCATGCTTCTGGGATGGGAGAGATGTTTCTCAATAAATTTGTTTCTCATGACTTGTATAATAAAATTGATGCTCCAAAGATTTTTTTCTTTTTTAAGGCTGATTAGACAAAAGGGAGGGAGGCCTCAGGATGAAGGCAGGAGCCCATCAGCCATACTCTTCAAGGCATGGCCTACTGTGTCCCACTCTCCTGTTGAGTTTAGAAACTTGCTCACTTTGAGCCAGTGTTATTGGGGACAAAATTAGAAAAGTTACATTCACTTTTGCACCATCATAATGTTAAAAATCTTTATATGTTTGAGATAGTCTGTTTATATTTAAATTTCAGGTAAGAGCTTAGAGGTAATTTAGGTCAAATTCATCACTGTTGAAAGACACTAAAGGCCAAAGTCATGTTCCTGACTGGTTGATTGCACTGACATTTAGGAACAGAGCCAGCCTAGAACCAAGGGTTCTATGTCTACCCAGCCTCCTTCCTTTACCTTGACTCATTATTTTATTTATAGAGTCCTTCAGGATATACTTTTGAGGGCTTATTTTCTGATAAGCCCTAGATAGTAACACTTGTTGTTATTATTAATTATAGCCAAAATCATAAAATAATCCAAGTGTCTATAAAATAATAGCCAAATCCAATACAATAGTATGCGGCAACAAAAAGGAACAATTATACACAAACAACAAAATAGATTAATCTCAAAAATTATGCAATGTGAAATGAGCCCTATATAAATAACATGATCACTACATTGATATAAAATATTCACAAAGGAAAAATCTATAAAGTAGATTTGTGGTTTTGTAGGGCTGGAAGTAGCAAGGATTGACTGAGAAAGGACAAAAGGCTATTTTGAGGGGTGATGGACACGTTCTAGAACTTTTTAATAATGGTTGTTCAACTCTAGAAATTACTGAGTCTGCGTGTTTATAATTTGTGGACTTTTTGGTGTGTAACCTATAAATCTACTTGAAAGACAGTAGGTTTGCTTGGGAGGCTAAGGTAGGAGGATCACAAGCTCAAAGCCAGAAATTTAGCAAGGCTCTAAGCAACTTTGTGAGAACCTGTCTCAAACTAAAAAATAGAAAGGGATGGGGATGTGGCTCAGGAGTTAAGAGCTTCTGGGTTTAATCCCTGGTACCAGGAAATGAAATAAAATAAAAACAAAAACAGTAGGTTTAAACAAAATTGATAAAATCTTAGATTAAGAAAACAAAATTAAAATAAAACCAGAGATTAAAAAGGATACATTAGGGCTGGGATTGTGGCTCAGCGGTAGAGCGCTTGCCTCACACGTGCAAGACCCTGGGTTCAATCCTCAGCACCACATAAATAAGTGAAACTTAAATAAACAACTGAAACTTAAAAAATATTTTTTAAAAAGAATACATTTTGTATTAGTCACAGTGACAAAAAATACTAAAAAAGAATAACTTAAAGGAGGAAAAGTTAATTTTTCCTCAGAGCTTCAGAGGTTTAGTCCATGATGGGTGTCCCCACAGCTCTGGGCCCAAGGTAAAGCAGAACATCATCGAAGAAGGGTGTGGTAGAGGAAAGTTCCTTGGCTCATGGCAGGCAGGAAGAAAAATCAAGGTACCAGAGGCAAAATATAAACCCCAAAGGCAAACCCCCACTGACCTTTCTCCAACCACATATTACCTGCCTATAGTTACAACCCACTACAGTAGTCCATTTCAAATTATTAATCCACCAAATGGATTAATCCATTAAGTAAGTTACAGCTCTCATAACTTAATTTCACATCTGAGTATTGCTACCTTGTCTAATATGAGCTTTTTAGGAGGATACCTTATATCCAAATAACATAACACATTACAACTGATAATAGAAGTACTATTGTAATGAAGTAATTTTTGTTAAAATAGAAGTACAAAGTATTATTACAGATTGTTATAAACAACTCTATGACAAGAAAATTAATAACCTAGAAAAAAGGACACATTCTCTGTATTATAAATTCCATATACCTACACCCTGATGTGACTTGCTACACTGTTGGTTTTATAATTATTTCATCAACAATAGTGTCACAAATTCAAACTACAAAATAAGTTTGATTTCTGTCCAATTCAACACATGGAGTCACACAATTGATAAATGAGTGCACTTTTGACATAAATATCCGCTGATATTTTAATTAAGGAGTAAAAATAATGTATTTCAATGATGTCAACTACTTCTTTGCTGAATTGAATGATAGTTTTCAAATACTGAAAGAATGGTTTCTAGATTAGATTTTGGTTACTGTAAAAAAAATACAACTTAAAAGAAGAAAGGTTTATTTTGGCTTCAGAATTTTTAGTCCATGGTCATCTTGGTTTGGGCCTGTAACACCACATATATCATAGTGGGAGCATGTGGTAGAGGAGGTGAGCTCACCCAATAATAACCAGGAAATAAAAAGTCAAAAGAGAAAGGAAAGGACAGGGATCTCAATATTCCCCTCAGGGCACACCCACAATGAACTAACTTCCTTCACTAGGCCCTACCTATTAAAGCTTCTACAACCTCCCAATAAGTGACCAGTTGAGGATCAAGACTTCCACCTATTGTGGGTAACAGGAGGTATTCCAGATCCTAACTATAGCAGTTCCCCAGTTTGGAGGAACTCAGACATGACATATTTTAAGTTTACTCATCATCAATATTTTAATTCTCACTCTATTTTTTTCTCCCATCACTTTCTTAAGTTTAGAGATAATAAGCAATAAGTCAAAGCTTGCTTTGCACCATTTAAAAATTTCCATGGAGGGCTGGGATTGTGGCTCAGAGGTAGAACGTTTGCCTAGCATGCGTGAGGCACTAAGTTCAATCCTCAGCACCACATAAAAATAAAATAAAGATATTGTGTCCACCTACAACTAAAAAATAAATATTTAAAAAATTTTAAAAAATAAATAAATAAAAATTTCCATGGAGTAAACATCCCCATCATGGCTGATTTCAAAGGATCAATACGGCATCACTGAATGCAAACTTGGAAAGAGATGTGTAAACACATACAATAAATAATCTTAAGAGTATAAATAATGGTAAAATGGAGTAAAATAATTAAAAATAATTATAACTAAAAAGTGATCAATATTGAGTTTTTAATCATATTTGTCATACAATTTAAGTTCATGAGATTTTATTTTTTATTTTTTATTTTTTTATTTTTTTTTTGAGATTTGATTTTTTAATACTGATAGTATTTAACTCTCTGGCTCATTAAATTTCTGGAATTTTAACAACCCACCCTCATCAACTAACTCCAGTAGGCCACTGACTCCCCTGTTTTACCATTGAGAAAACTGAAATTCAAAGAGACTATTACTAACTTCCTATGGTCACACAGAACAGTGTCAACAAGTTGTCTAATTCCAAATCTCTCCCTTAACACTGTTACTGATGGTTTACCCACACCATACCCTAACATCTTCATGTGAATGGATTTATTATTATATAGTCATTGCCTTCTTCTACAATAGGTCAAATGATAAACCTAACCAGACCAAGAGTAATGAGTAAGTAGAAAAAGAACATTTATCTACGTATGCTTTGTTAAGAATACAGCAGGATCATTCCCTCCTAGGATTTGACTAAGAAAGAGATCAACATTTGCTCATGAACTGGTGAAAATGATAGATTGTTTTTTAAAAAACATTTGTCATCTGATGTTTCTTTTCAGATATTTTCACTGTATTTAATGAAAATGTTAAGACTTACCTTAAAGAACACAATTGAAGAACAATGTTCAATTGTGACCTGAATGATTCATGGACACTTATACATATTCAGACCTATTTTTGTTTGTTTAGTTTTGTCTTGCTTTGTTTGGGTTTTTGTTTTGTTTTTTGTTTTTCTCATTCCTAACATCTTTTTAAGGCAGTTATTTCTCTTTTTTATTTTATTTTTATTTTTTAGTTGTAGTTGGACACAACACCTTTATTTCACTTGATTATTTTTGTATGTGGTGCTGAGGATGGATCGAACCCAGGGTCTACTGCTGAGCCACAACCCCAGCCGCTAAGGCAGTTATTTCTTATAGATAAAAAGTTTGAGGACTAATATATTTCATTATACTACAGCAGTTTTGTTCTTGTACTATTTTACTTTTATTTTTACTATTAATTTTAAAATTTTTATTATATACACCTTTTCTCTCACCTGTTTCCCTTGAACCTCTTTATGTCTTTTCCTCTACTAATAGCCAACCTTAACTGATCTATCATTCCTCCTCTATTTTCTACTTCTATTTTCTCTCCCCCTCCCTCACAAGCATCATTTCCTACATTATTTCTTTTCTATCTCTGTTCACAACTTAAAAGTGTAAGTATGTACATAATCCTACTGTATTAACTGTGGACAATAACTAAACACATCATCTCTGTTTATTGTGACAATTAACATAATAGATATCTAAGCAGGAACTATTTGGTTGGATGCTATAAATGGTTTGTATTGGTTGATGTATTATCTGTCTCCCCCTAAATTGTAAGGTACTAGAAACCTTCAGAGTTCTTATAAGTCCACAGGGAAGAAACTCTACTGCCTCAAAATCATACTGTCAAATGAGTAGACACCCAAACAACATGAAAAAGCAAGGGGAAAAAATCATCTCAAACAAATAAATATAATTCAATAACACCACAGTGGAAGAAATGACAGAGAAGAAGTTTAGAATGTTCATAGCTAAATTGATCTGCAAAGGTAAAAATGATGTAAGGAAGAAAATACAGGAAGCAAAAGATCCCATAAAGAGAGGTTCTTAAAAAAGAAAAAAAAAACGAGCAGAAATTC